ATACATATACTATATATATATATATGATTAAATGGGATCTTAAGGACTATGATTAACACTTCTTGGCAGTGAAATAATACAACCGTGTTTTTGGCCAATTGTTTCTTAAAAGCTGGTCGGAGGGGGGGCAGGATTAAAAAGAAAAATCATCTCCACAACTGTAGAAATAAAGAAAACAGTTGTGTTTATTGTTGAATAACCATTAAACCAGACTGTAAGGCTCGTGGCAAGCAAACCAAGGAGATTTCAAAAACAAACAAACCTCATCTTTTCAAATAGCTCAGCAGGTCTAATCATTACAGAGGTGTTCTCAAGGTCATGGTTACTCATCTCGTGTAAAAGGGCAGCACCATTTGCTATACATTCTTTCACAGTCCATTGTAAATTCACCTGGTAGTCTGGGTAGCCACCCATGTTAGTTAATTGCCTTTATCCCAAGAAAAAAGGAAAGCACTCATATCTCCATGAAAAGTGGATAGTTCAAACAAAGGGTCAAAAGCAAGTCTCAGGGCCAAGAGGTGGGAACAAGCCACGTATCCATCAGCAGATGGATGGATAAGCAAAATGTGACCCTTATAATGAATTCTAGTGGCCCAGTGCGTGAAATTCGTGTGCAAGGGGGGGTGGTCCCTAAGCCCAGCCCCTGTGGGATCGGGCCTAAATCGGCAGTCGGACATCCCTCTCACAATCTGGGACTGTTGGCTCCTAACCACTCACCTGCCTGTCTGATAGCCCCTAACTACCTCTGCCTGCCTGCCTGATCACCCCCAACTGTCCTCCCCTGATGGCCTGATCGCCCCTAACTGCCTCTGCCTCGGCCCCCACCACCATGGCTTTGTCCGGAAGGAAGTCAGACATCCGGAAGATGGCCAGTTGACCCGGTCTAATTAGCATATTACCCTTTTATTAGTATAGATAGATTATATTGGATAGGATTGCTTAAAGGGGGGGGGAGCCTTTTTCAGCAGGAGGAGATGCTCTTGGCAGACAAAAATACATAATCCCTATTTGGCAGACAGAAATACATAATCCCTATCTGGACTACTGATAGCCCATATGCACTATACTGCCAAACCGGTCATTAAAAAATTGAACTGCTTTCTTACACCAAACAGCTGTTGCCCTTAAAACCCCTCCTCAGCCCCCACCTTAGGTTCTGCCTTCACAGTTCACCCAGATAAGGTTCTGATTGGTTGGTTTCTATGCCATTCAGCATCAGAAGCTCCGCCTCCTATGCAGCCATTGGCTCCTCACAATTCACACAGATTTGGTTCTGATTGGTCGGATTCCTCACAATTCACACAGATTTGGTTCTGATTGGTCGGTTTCTATGCCAGTCAGCGTCTCCGGACCTATCTCCGGGCCTGATCAGAGAGGCAGGGCTGATGAGCAGCCCCCCTGGAGGCCCTCAGAGAAAGAGAGGCACAGCTGCTGGACAGGCCCCGAGAGAAAGAGAGAGGCAGGGGCTGATGAACAGCTGCCATGGAGGTTACGGATCAGACCCTGCCTCTCTCCGGGCCTGATCCGCAGCCCCCTCGACAGTCAGTGCCGGGTCACCAGCACCGGTGACCCAGCACTGACTGCAGGACTGACTTCCAGTCCGTCAAGCTTTTGGTCGTTTTGGATGTTACAGACCCTGGGTTTTTATATATTAGGATTATTCATCCTTAAAAAGGAAGGCAATCCTGACACATACTACAACATGGATGAACCCTGAGGACATTATGCTGACTGAATGAGCCAGAAATAATGGACAAATACTGTCTGATCCCACTTATATGAGGGGCCTAGAGTGGTCAACCTCATAAGGACAGAACGGTGAATGGTGGCTGCCAGCGACTGGGGAGAGACAGGGGGAGTCAGTACTTAATGGCTGCAGAGTCTCAGTTTGGGAAGATGAAGAAGTTGTGGAGATGGATGATGGTGATTGTAGCACAACCATGTGAATGTGCTCAATGCCACTGAATTTAACTGTAAATGTGGTTAAAATGTTAAATTGTGTTATGTTATTTTACCACAAAAAGGAAGGAAGGGAGAAAGAGAGGGAAGGAGGGAAGGAGATCTCTCCACGTAGTCTCTTTGTGCATGGCACATTTCATCCATAGGATACTGAGAGGTAGTAAAATGTCTGGGTCAAGGATGATACACAGGCTGAAAATATGTAGACTAGAGTTTAATTGGAATTGAGGGGCAGGCTTTGGGAAATCCAGAGACTCCCTGAAATTGGAGACACCATCTGAGTGTGTGAGCACATGTGTAGTTTTCCAGGATTTTAGGTTCTCACAGTGTCTTGGACTGAAAGATGCCTGAGGCTGGAAGATGCATGTCCTCCAGTACAGAATCCTGAACATCGTGTCTGTAACCATCGAGCTTTGGCAAATGGAGTGTTTTAAGTAACTATTTAATACGAGGAGTCAATGTAGCTGGGATCTTGTTTACACACGTATCTCATTCTTGTAAGGTCTGAGCACTTCTGCTTCCCCTAAATGTCCTTGTGACCTCCCTCTCTCATCAGACTAAGCTCTGAAATATGAATGGGAAAGGAGAGAGTCCAGCCTATTTCAAGTTCAGAATGGAGAGAACACAGCATCTCCTGGAGAGGGGTAAAGAGTGATGCTGATACGTGGAATCTAATTAACAAAATAAACTGATGAACAGAGTGGATCCAGAGACAAGGAAGCATGGAACAGAGTGTGGAATCTTGGAGGGAAGGTGGGGGAGGGTGGGTGGAGAGGAGGTAATCAACCCTGCTGGCCTTTTTCATTATTTTTTTTTCTATAGCATTTACTGCATTCTAAGGAAGGGTCTAGGCGCAGTGGTTCTCAACCTTCCTAATGCCGTGACCCTTTAATACAGTTCCTCATGTTGTGGTGACCCCCAACCATAAAATTATTTTTGTTGCTACTTCATAACTGTAATTTTGCTACTGTTATGAATCCTAATGTAAATATCTGATATGCTATATGTATTTTCCGATGGTCGCGACCCACAGGTTGAGAACCGCTGCAGATGGACATAGACAGCGGGGTGGTGAGGCCTGGGGCAGGGTGCGTGGGGGCGGGGGCTGGAGGGAATTGATGGGGGACAAAAGGGGGGACATATATAATACTTTCAACAATAAAGATTTTTTTAAGAGAATTATGCTGACATTTGAGGAGAGTGTTGGAGGCTGGACAGAGGCTGTTGGGTCAGTGGCAGGAGGTATGGTTGACCCCTGATTCCCAGGAGCAGTGCACACATGGCAGTCCATGGGTTTGGATCCTTCAAGCTGCTTGCCAGGTTGGAATGACTAATGACATCAGAGGCTTCCGACCTTCCTGATTGGAAGGACCAAATTCCGTGGTGCTTGGCAACAGAGGTGGGCAACAGCATCTTCTCCAAGAATTTGAACAGACTGGAGTCTAGGTGTCCTGAAAGGGAAGATTTGGGAGAAATCATGGACAGTTGTGAACCAAGTTTCCAGGGTGAGAACCAGAGACCACAGCCTACTGCTCAGGGTGCCCCCTAGAGGTGAGAGTGGTTGAAGTCGTCCCAGGACCATCAGGTGAGGAAACTGGGGGCAGAAGGGATTTGAGAGGGTTGACCATTGAGGAAGGGGGACCTGAGTAGAGTGTGTGTGAAAGACAGATTCAGAAAGCCAGGGATTGGAGGAGATCACAGGAACTGGGGACAAGAATATCCCCACGAAAGCCTGGGAAGCTAGGAAGGAGGCTTCTGGGGACAAGGATATCCCCACGAAAGGAACGTCTGGGAAGGAGGCTAGGAGATGAGATCCAAGGATGAGAGAAGGGAAGGGAGGAAACAGTGGAAGGTACCTCTCTTTTCCCCTCCAATGGGAGAAATTATCACCAACAAGGAAGGGTTTTGAGGACAGAGACATAGAACAATGACAAGATGACTGGGGGACAGGTGGGCATCACCAAAGGAGTGAGATGGAAAGATGGCTGGGGGGAAGGTCAGTAGACTATGAGACTGGAGACAATGGAGGGGTTTGCTTTGGGGGCGGGAGTACATGAGGTGGAGTGGGTATGCAGTTTGTTTTATGTGACTAGTAGCTGAATTCCAGAGGCAAATGCTGTGTATTGTAGCTGGTTTTTTTACTCAGGCCCCTGTGCAGAGGGCAGCGCCCTGCCTCGATCTGCTCGCCTGAAAAGGAAGAGGGAGTGGCCCACAGAGGAGGAGACGGAGGAGGATCCTGCCCCTGGGGCTCAGGACCTCTGGGTCGTGGAGACCCTGTGCGGGCTCAAGATGAAGCTGAAGAGGCAGCGGGTGTCTTCAGTGCGACCTGAGCACCATCAGGCCTTCACCAGGCTGCTCGGTAGGAAGGGACCCTGCAGAGCACCCTCCAATCCTACACTTTAAAAAGGACCTTCCAATAAGTACTCCTTCCCAATAGAAAAGAATTCCCTGCCAGTTAGCGAGCTCCCTTTCCTAGGAGGGCTCCATGTCAATCACTCATGGCAGGGGTGGGGGGGGCACTCAGAGATAATGGAGGACGAGGCTACACTTCAAATGGGGCTGCACTTGGAGTCAGGCAGCTCAGTTTCAACTGCACCCTCTGCGACTTCTCAGCCCTGACTGCCCTTCTGATTCTAAACACCTTCATCTGTGTAAGAGGACACATAATAAGGCCACCTTCCCACCCTAAAGGGACTGTCCACTGACGATGGCCATGGCATCGGATTATTTCAGCTCTGAATCTTGTAGATAGGTGACTGACACCCTACCTGTCACTCAGTCACCCCAGACTGGGGGGTAAGGTTCAGGGGTCACCACTGCTTCCTTGTCCCAGGAACTATCTCCTCTGTCCCTCTTCCTACTGGCCTTGGCCTTGGCCACAATCCTGAAATTTCCCCAGGAGGGCCATGGTTCTGCACTTGGCCCTGGAACGCTCCCATGGCAACCCTGTGGCTGTCCTCAAGCTAACGTATGCCCTCTTTCACAGAGGATCCTGTCATTAAAAGATTCCTGGCCTGGGACACAAATCTGAGGCTCTCTGACAAGGTAAGAAGTACTCCTGCTCTGCCATCTATCCTGGGGCAGGGGAGAGCTTTCCGAGCCCACAGTTCTCTCTCCTGCCTGATGCCTTGTCACCCCTTCCCTTCGGGGACCGAGGAGTTTCCTGCAGTGTGGACGGGCAGCCCTGCCTCAGCCCTGGCTCCTCTGGGATCTTGCCCCTGTGGTTTTGGCCACATCAAGTGCCCTCTTCTCTCTGCCTTTGGGGACACCCCTTTGCTCCAGCCTGTCAAAGACCCTCCTGGAGCTGACTGTCCTGAGCACACGCCCTGAAACCTCAGCGCTTGCCACTGGGAGCATCAGCCAGTCACTCATCCCACTGTTCCTCCTCTTTCACAACGGGAGTCCTTCTATGTTTATTCTCTTTCCATCAGTATCTCCTGTCCATGGTGATAGCTTATTTCAGCCGCGCGGGCCTCTTCTCCTGGCAGTACCGACGCATTCATTTCTTCCTGGCCCTGTGAGTATCTTGCTTATTCCCATCAGTCAGTATTCATACCCTGGGGAGGAGGAGGGAGACGAGTTGTATCCTGACCTTTCATCTATTTTTTTTTTTTAATTTTTGTTAATTACCACCCAGGGATATTTTTTCCATTGATTTTTTTAGAGAGAATGGAAGGGAGGGGGAGAAAGAGAGAGAGAGAAACATCAATGTGAGAGAGACACACCCATTGGTTGCCTCTCACAGGAGTCTCGACCAGGGCAGGGAACTGAGCCTGCAACCGAGGTAGGTGCCCTTAACCGGAATGGACTCTGAGACCCTTTAGCTGATGCTCTAACCACAGAGCTAACCAGCTAAGGCCCTTTCATCTATTTTTATAACCTATTTGTACTGTTCCGTCTAGTTATAAAAATGATAGAATTGTAGTATAGGGTTTTTTATACTCTTCTTTGTAAAAGCCAACAACCCTAATGTCAATTAAAAGATTGAACAAAATAAAAGAAAACACAAAAGCCTCATAAAGAATTGATACCACTTCACTTTACCCCCAACAAATAGGCTTGGGACTAGCCATTTCTAACTCTCTCTCTCTCTCTCTCTCTCCCTCTCTCTCTTCCCTTCATCTTTTTCACCCACCCCCCCATAACCATGCCAAATGTAATGGTCTTAGTCCTCAATGCAGGCCTTCATTAAACAACCCTGGCTGATGTGCGACTGAGTTGGTAGGAGTGTTGTCCCCTAAACCGAAAAGTTGAGGGTTCGATTTCCAGTCAGGGCACATATGCAGGTTGCAGGTTCAATCCCAGCCCCAACTGGGGTGCATGCAGGAGGCAGTGGATCAGAGTTTCTCTCTCTCTCT